GACCCTAGGTGACGCTTATCAGCCTGAGAGAAAGAGCAGAACACGGGCCATCAGGCTAGACAATGAGAAGAGCCCAGCCGAGATGCCCAACGGCTCCACAACGAATCTGGATACCCCACCCTATAAGCCACGACCAAAAAAGCAATCTAACTAAACAATGAGAGGAGCCCAGCCGAGATACCCATCGGCTCCACACCGGACCTGGACACTTCACCCTGAGAGCCCAACCAAAGATACAATCAGGAGGCAATCAGAACTTTTCACATGTGAAAGGACTCTGCCCAGTGGTCTATTGATTCAGTTCGACAGTTCCAGGAAATCCATTCAACCAACCATCTAGACTCTTTGTGGAACAGTGACTGCTCAGAGTTTTAGCCTCAGGACACAAAATCCCTATAAAAACCCTGGACGGTCAACCCTCCGTGTGGATTTGGGTAAATCTGTACCTCTGGGTATAGACCCCTGTCCACCCAGCGCTGCACTGATTTATTTTATTGTGGTTTTTTTCTCCCGTTTGTGATTGAAATTGTTTTATAATAAATCGCTGTTTATATTAACCCTATTTTGCCATTGCATTTATAACATCAAGGTTTGAAGAAAAAAGATGCCTTTCCTGTTCTCAGATAATGTGTAATCTACATTCTTCCAGGCTTCCCAGCAATCTTCTGCATTTTCAAACTTGCTCCTTTCTCACACTTACCTGTCTACCTTTTTGTTTCCTTCAGCTATTTCCATTCCTGTTTTCAGAGTAACGGCTCTATACTTTTACCTTTACACGTACTTCATGTGTTTGACTCAGGTGTTGGTGAATGAGGCATCATGAGATACAGGAGGTTTCTCCACATAGGGATTGATTTTCTTGGGGTTTGCAGGCTGTACAAAGCATTGCTGTGCACTACATCTTCCCTGACTTTGTGCTATCTCCCCACTAAACAATCTCTTAGTACAGTTGGGGTCCCTCTCAGAAAAGGTGTTAATACATTAAGAATAATTTCTACAGAGTCTGGGATCATTTCATCTGCATGTTTGTGTTTTGTTGGTAAGTAATGAGTTTTTGTAGCAGCAGCAGCAGAGATATTCTTAGCTTCCTGTGTAGGGGTTGAGGTAGGTTCCCCTGTTTTTTGAATACACAGTTCTGCTGGTCATTGAATGGGTTTTGTCAGGAGGGTCTGGCCTGTGGTGCAGAAGGATGCACACATCCCAGAATCCAAAACTTTCCATACCACCTGTATTGGTTCTGACCTAGGTAAAGTTCACAGCCCTTCCAGCGCTGTGCTTTGCATTGGTACCTAGGCGGGTGTTGAGAACAGACCCGTGTTTTAGCTACTGCCTGGCTGTGCTGTCCCTCTGACATTCCTTCCCCCATCAAAGGGGATGGGAGTGGGCAAGATTTTGGGAGAGGACACAACCAAGCCAACTGACCCAAATTAGCTAAAGGGATATTCCATACCTTGTGACGACAGCTCAGAGAGCTAAGCTAAGGGAGACGGGAGGAAGGGGGGGCATTTCTGAGTTTTCAGTGTTTACCTTCCAGAGGAACCGCTACGCGTGCTGAAGCCTTTCTTTTCAGAAAATGTCCAAACATCAATGCTGATGGAAGCAGAGACTGACTTTTTTCTCTTCAGCCCACGCAGGCACAGATCTTTGCTTATTTCTTTATTTTACTGTAATAAAACTGCTTTATCTCACCCTGCTGGCCCTTCTTCGTCTTATCCTCTTTTCTGTCTCAGTGGGAAAGAGAGTGACAGAGAGACAGAGTGGGCACGTGGCACCCAGCCAGGGTCGACCCACTGCAGTCATTTTGGCACCTGAATGTGGGACGATATAAAGTTGGTGAAATGGACTATAGCAGGACCCTCGAGGGGCCAGGCTGGAACAGCAGAGTGCAGGCCTGGGGTGGCAAACAGTTTAGCAATGAGCCCGAAGCTGTGGCAGGAGCAGCATGGGTCTGGGCAGACCCAGAGATGTGGAGCTAAAAGTGGAATAAAAATCCAGAGCAGCAGCAGAGACAGCAGGGGCTGGGCAGGCCTGGAAGGAGAAAGAAGGTGGAGGGGGGCATTGTTTTGGGTGTCCCCTGGCTGTCACCTGTGTAATGCCCTGGCAACAGCAGCAGCTGCTGGGCTCCCACAAGCAGCCATGAGACACCCCCTTTCAAAGGTGGTTGGGGTCCCGGTTTTCCCCTGAGGCACCCAAGCAGATGGTAAGGATCCCTCCCAGAGTGATCGGGTATTGAAAGGACCCAGTTACATGGCCACACTTGTGAGCAGAGGCTCACCCACAGTAAACAGACACAGTGATGGAAAAGTTGTGCAATAGCAGTGGTTCCTCAGGGCAGCAGCAGTCCAACACCAAAACCTCAACCATCTGCCCTTTGAGCCGTGTCCCCCAGCTAAGATAATGTCATAACCCCACAGCCTATCCTTCCTCCCCCAGACATGACACCCAAATGCACCTTTCCCTTGGCTGACTCCTCAGTGTGGGATGTAAGAGGTCTCAGCCATGTCTTGTGTCTTCATGACCTGTATTTTGCCCCAGACAACCGCTCCCTTCACTGACTCTTCCTTACAGATGGGAAAAAATTCCCTAAAGAATCCAAAGCAAAAGAAGGGCCTCTGCTTTGCAGTATTGAGACAAAATTAAATGCCAAAATGCAGCTAAAACGCAGAATCAAAAAAAAAAAAAAAAAAAAAAATTCTTAGCTTATAATGGCACAGCTCCTTATCAAACTCAGGGATCACTAAATTTCTAGCTAAATACAATCTAACTCATTTTCAAAATGTAAACAAGACAGCCAGTCCTGTCCTGCTGGGTCCCAGCAGTGCCTCGCAGCAGTCCTGCATCCACGTCAGGATGCTGGCCAACACAGAGCTGTCCTGGAAACTAAGGCAGCTGACTTTAAGTTTTGCAGGTACCCAAAGGTCAAGCCCAGCGGTGCTCCCTCAAGATTTAGCAGTTCTGAGTGATCTCCCCTGAAGTCGCCCACTCCTTGTGACACCAGTTGCTTTCCTGTGCAATGTTCTACCTGCCCCAAGAGTAAAGAGGGAGCTGGAGAAAGAGCATGCCAGGCTGCTCTCGATCCTTTCCCAGCAATGCTGGTTAAGTGGAGAAGTCCCAGCTGGCTCAAATGTGTAAATGTAAGAGCCATGCACTGGAAGGGTCAGTGGGAAGGATGATCCAGGAACCATTGGCCTGGCAGCCTGAGCTTGCTACTGGGGAAGGGTTTGGAGTAAATCCTGCTGAGTGCCATCCCATGGCATGTGCAGGGAACCAGGGGGTCTGCTGGAGGATGGGAAAGCTCTGGGGAGGGATGGGGACAGCTGGGGGGTCCTGGTGGGGTGTTGAGGAGTTCTGTGAGCGTGTTTTGGGGCCGTTTGTGTTGGTGGGCATATTGGGGAAGGAGTTGTCTGGAAGTGAGAGGTCTAGGATGGAATTTGAGTCAGTTTGACGGCAAGATCCATGGTTTAGCACAGCTTTGGTTATGGAGGACATAAGAAATATCTACGACTTTTCTTGTTAGTGGTCCCGGTTCTCATGCAAAGAAGAGGGGAGAGCTGTACTGTACTGGCCACTTAGATATCTGTACCAGGCGGAGAATTAGCCTTTTTACAATTTACTCAGTTGTTTGGACTACTTTTGTAATACTGAGTGGACTTTCATTCCTTGAGAGCTTTAATCCTTCAGAGAATTAGGATATTATCATCCCTCCATAGAAAACCAAAGGTTTGCAAACCAAAGAATGTCCATTTTTTTAGCCTCTCTGGAGTGTTATATTTTGTAAAGTGACTCTCAATGGATAACATTAAGGCAAAGGACTTGCTGCTTTGAGATGGAAATCAAACTTGCAAATCTTTCACATTCTCCGGCCATTCCAATTAATTGGTGAATCTGCAACTTTTTGGAACTACTTGATTGGAGCAATGGGGAAGCTCTCACGAATTGAGGATTCTTAAATGCCAGATCCTTCTGTGCCTTCCCCACAAAGATGTTTTATAGCTGCAGGAAATGACATCAATGGGAAAATAATTCCCACATGTAATTAATCTGACTAAGACTAAGCATTGCCAGCAGTTGCTCCAGGAGTTCCTGCCAACAGACCCTGCAGGAAGGAGCACAGCCCCCAGTGCATGTGGGCTTTGGCTGCCCTCTGGCACAGAAGCCCCCCAGGAGCACAGGAGACGAGCACCAGCACTGCCAGGGATGGCTCGGGGTGGGGGGTGGCAGCTCTGCCTTGGTGAGGACTCTGCCACACCTGCTGATCTCAGTGCTGGCCGCGCCCCAGGGCTCAGAGCAGCATTTGTGCCTTGGCCCAGATGTTCCTTGTCTGTGTCACACCTGCGGGTTTAGAATGGCCACCAGCTGGGACGTGTCCCAAGGAGGCCGTGCCAGCTTCTGTTCAAGCCCCCGTGCCCTTCCTGCTGCGGCTGTGTCAGCAGCCCTGGGGGCCCCTTCTGCTGCCCTGAGCCCACAGAGCAGGGCAGCGTTTGCTGATGGTTTGAGGCATTCCTAAAAATCCTGTCAGGCTGTCTTAGACACTTTGGGCAAGGGATTCCTTCCAAGCTGGGCCACTTTGGGGGGGAAGGGGGCAGCCCCAGGGCAGAGGGCAGTGTGTGCAAGGGCCCTTTGTGACACATGGTCACCGTGGAATGGAAGGGGACAGGCTGTCCAAGGGCCCTTTGTGACACGTGGTGACATAGGAGCTGGCGGTGACAGGACCACGCCACAGTGCCCAGTGCACGCGACGGGACAGGACGCGCCAGAGCGGTGCTGTGAGGAGCCCCCGCACAGCACACTCCTTTGTGTCGGTGCTGTGAGGAGCCCCCGCACAGCACACTCCTTTGTGTCTGACCCGGAGCTTTTCCAAGGCTTTACTGCTACAGGTGACCTCGTGGAAAGACTGCGGGACTTGGTGTCCCGTGGCTTTCCCGAGGCTTTTCTTTTGCAGGTGCCTGCGAGGCCAGACTGCGGGACTTGGTGTCCCGTGGCTTTCCAGACTGCGGGACTTGGTGTCCCGTGGCTTTCCTGAGGCTTTTCTTTTGCAGGTGCCCGCAAGGCCAGACTGCGAGACTTGTAACCTGGAGCTTTTCTGAGGCATCTCCCACCCTTCCGGCCTCTGCCCTCAAGGTGAGACTGTGGGACTTAGTGAGCACAATCATTTACGAGGAGTCTCCGGTCATTGTGGCAGGAGCCCTCAAGACCAAACTGCAGGACTTGCTGTCCTGTAGCCTTGCTGAGGCTTCTCTGTCTCAGGTGCCTTCAAGGCACAACTGCAGGACTTGTTGACTCAGAGATTTCCCAAGGCATCTCTCTTTAAGGTGCCTTCAAGGCAAGATTGTGTCATGGCGGGCAGATTCCTTAGCCTGTTCAAGGTGTTCAGGGGGAAAAGAAAGACGGACCCTGGAGCTGCCCCAGCACAACTGCCTGAAGAGCCAGAGCAGTTCCAGCCACAGCAGGATGGTGAGTGGCAGAGCTAGGCCACAGGGCTGATGGCTGCAGCTAGCTAGGCCCCATCCCATCCCATCGCATCCCATCCCATCCCATCCCATCCCATCCCGTCCCGTCCCGTCCCGTCTCGTCCCGTCCCGTCCCGTCCCGTCCCGTCCCATTCCATGTACTGTGGACATTCCCATGGACAGGACAGAAGAGGGGATGGGGCTGATTCCCGGCACTGGCTGTGATCCATCCCCTGAACCAACCCAGGGCTGTCCCTGCCAGGGGAATGCACAGCTGGGCTGTGTTCTCTGGCCTCTCCCGCAACCCCTCAGCTCTGGCTGCTCTTTGCCAGATGCAGCCATGGACGGGACACAAGAGCAGGACCCAGCCCGTGGCCGTTTCCACAGAGCAGCGCAGGTACCTGCAGCCATCCCCACCTGGGCTGGGCCTGCTGGCACTGCTCAGCCCAGCAGCGCACTTGGAGCAAGCACGCCATGGAACATGCCTCTCTTCCCCGTCCTTTGTCCTGCTTGCACAGAGGTTCCGGAAGTTCCTGGGCATTCGGCGTAGAAAGAACAACACCACAGCAGCAACTGAGTGTGCAGCTGAGCCTGACTCCGGGCTGACCGAGCTCCAGGCAGAGCCTGATGTCAGCCCAGATTCAGCTGAGCACTCAGAAGATTCTGCTGCTGCAGTGAATGATGAGAGCACAAAGGATGACATGGCAGTGACAGAGAACGTGGCCATTCCAAACTCAGAGACTCAGGGCATTGCAGATGCTGACATCACACCTGCTCCCACTCTGAGTCAGGAACTCATAATGGAAAATTTCAAGGACAATTATGTTTCTTGTGAGCAGCAGGTACCCAGCCTGGCACCAGAACTGGAGGCCTCCCAGGATCATGTGCCCCCTCAAGCCACATCCACAGGGGCCCCTCAGCCTTTGAGGCCAGCAGAGCATGACAGGAAGGTAAACACTTCTTGGGGGAAGCTGGGGAAGTTGCTGCCTTGAACAGCACTCCAAGTCTTCCCCATGCCTCCTCCAGGTGCCAACTATTGTAAGAAACATTCACCAGAGTCTCGTGTCCCGTGTCACTGTGGATGTCAGGCAGCAAATTGACATTATAAGGCTGGCTGAAGAACACCCTGTCGATGTGGCGCTGACCCTCCTGCGCTGTGCCCCATCGTGTGACAGGTATGGGGCCCACGTGTCTTGAGAGCTCAGGGCTCCCCAGCCTTTGGAGCCCATCGCCCTGCACAGCCTGTCCATTGGGGTCTGCCCAACAGGCAGAGAGGTCCAGGTGCCTCGGGCCCCTCTGTTTCCTGAGGCTGCTGCCAATGCTCCCTCCCTGCCCCTCAGGGCACCAGGACTCTGTCACCTGGGACCCCACAGCTGTGTAGGGCATGGTGCTGTGACTGAGACACCCCTGACACAGAGCTCTGATCCCACAGAGCTGCTGCAATGATGTGGAGAACCATAGGATCGTCAGGACCTACAGTGGAGAAAGTGCTGCCAGCACTGCTCTATGTGATGGAGAACTGGCCCCTTTGCAGCATCTGCACCTCTGATGGGGACGACAAGGACGTTTTTCCCCTGACTGTGAGTTTCTGGAGCTGGCCGTTGATCAACCATCGGTTGCTTCTCCAACAGCTCTCTATCCTCTCCCTGCCTCTGGGAGCGCTGGGCTGAAACCTGGCCTAGGGGCAGGTTCAGGGGGCACCAGGCCTGCTGCTCCCCCTGTGCCTCCCCTCGGGCCCTGCCCCATGGACACCTCGGCACTGAGCGCTGTCTTTGGGTGCTTCTTTTGCAGGCAACTGTGGCGCTCTGGCTGATTATCCAAGTGCCTGAATGCCACGAGGCAATGATCCTTTATTCTGCTCGCCTGTTTGTGGCTCTGCTGTTCCATGTTGTCATCACCACCCAGCAGATGCCACCAGTGGAAGTTGACAGCATCTGGAGAGCATGCCGGGAGCAACACCGCCTTCCCAGCAACCCCAACAGGTGCCAGTCCTCCTGTCCTTCCCGTGCCCTTGTGGCCGGCACCAGTGTGCCCAGTGTGACCTGGGCTTTGCTGTGCACACAGGTTTGCAGTGCAGGCCATGAAGGCTCTGCTCTGCCGACTGCGATGTGACAATGAGCTGATGGCTATGGAGCGCAAGCGTGGCTGGGACACGCTGCTCTGTGCCGACACCCAGCACTATGCCGTGGGTCTGCTGGCCAGGTGAGACTCCCTTCTCGCCACTGCCTCTGACATTTGTGCCCTGTGCCCAGGCTGCCCCTCATAGTCCCCACTGTCCCGGCCAGAGGGCCTCATGACTCAGGGATGGCCAAGTAGACTGGAAAAAGCGGAGAGAGGAGGGTGCCCAGAAGGAGCCACCTCCCAAAGCACTTCCAGTTCCTCCAGGGATGCTGGGGAAAGGCTGGACACGTCTGTGAGTCATTCCTGGGAGAGGTTTGTCCTCCCCACCTCAGGCTCTTGGTGCCACGTTCCCCCTGACAGGGAGATGCGCCGTGTCTTGATCCCCTTCTGTTCCCGCATTGCACTCCAGCTGCTCAGGGCACTCATCTGGGAGGAGCCATGCTGGGATCTGCCCTTACTGGCATTCCTTGTGGAGGTGAGCCTGACGGTCAGCTCTACCTGGCTGATCTGCCTGCCAGCCCTGTCCCCTTGCATGGTCACAACTGCCTGGGATGTTGCCTGCGCCCTGTGCTGCTGCCTGGGCCCAGCCCTGCACAGTTCCAGGCTCCTGCCGGCTGGGTCCCCTGTCACTGCCCTGTGCCTTTCAGGTCCTCGAGTGTTTGGATTTGTCTAAATATGGTGACGGTGTCCTGGAAATCGTGTCAAGGCACCTGCAGAGCGAGTGCAGGCAGAGGCGTCACCTGGCGCTCCGAGGCCTCGTGGTGCTCAGCAAGGATCCCTCGATGGTGAGAACGGGGCAGCGGCTGAAGCTGTGCTGGGGAAAGCAGCCCCTTGGGCTGGCTGGGCTTCAGGAGCTCAGGCAGCTGCTCCCAGCTCTCCTGCCTCACCTGCCTGAGTGCTTTGGGACAGGCCTTTGGCCTCTGGGCCCGGCAGCAGCAGGGTGTGGCTGCAGTGCCAGGGTGGTGTTGGCGATGCAGCCGTTCAGGGCTTCCCAGCACAGCCTTGTTTTCCACACAGGCCACAAGAATGTGCAGCCTGTCTCGAAGCCTTCAGAAGCTGTTGGGTGATGCAGACGGAGACATTGTTGGCATGACCCTCCGTGTATTCAATAATATGCTCAACAATAAAGACATCGTGATATCCAGCAGCACTGCCCCAAAGCTGGCTGAGGCACTCCTGCTGCTCTTTGACCACGTAAGGCTCTGCACCCTCAGCCACAGGCACTGGCTGCTGCCCAGAAACTTTGTGTCTTACAGATTTCTGGGCCTTTGCCCAGGTGAGCCTGGAGGAATTGGTATTAAGGTCTTTTTCTCTTCTTTCCCTCCAGGACCACAGCCATGTGCAGTTGCTCTCCCTTGACCTCTTCTTCAAGGTGATGGATTTGGTAGTGGATGAGGGAAAAAAGCCCCTGGAGAAGATTTTGATCCAGAGCCTGCTTCCACTCTACTTCCACTGCCATGATGAGAACCGGCGCGTGGCGAAGGTCAGCTTTGGTGTGATGTTGGTGCATCCCTGGGAGGGGCATCGGCTTTCTCCTGCCCTGGAACCTCCCAGGTTACAGCTTCTTCTGGGCCCTGTCACCCAGACAAGAGTCCTGTGCCCTGGGCTGCAGTGCCATCTCTGCATCTCTGCTGCTCTCCAGGCCTCTCGGGAAACACTGCTTCGTGTGGCCGAGTTCCTAAAGATGAGGAATCTCAAGCAACTGGTAAAGAAGGAGCAGCTGTCCAAGTTTCCCGAGTGTCTGGTACGGACGGCCTGGAGAAGCCCAAGCCACAGCCCCGGATGTTCACTGTGTGGGGCTGGAAGCTGTGGCGCCTGCCCGGTGCTGCACCCAGGGGCTCCAGCCGGCGCCCCACACGCCGCTCCCTTCCCTGGGAAACAAAGGTTCTTCTCCAGGCTCCTGCGGCCCTGAGCGGGGCTGCGGGGCTGGGTGGCACCGCAGCTCCCCGGGCAGCAGCCGGCCCTCTGCCCCCTCCAGAGCCCGGCGCCAGCGGCTGCTGGCCGGGCCTCAAAACAGGGCGGGCACGGGAGGCCGGGGCTGGCCACAGGCAGTGCCCGGCCGAGGGGCAGAGCCCGCACCAACCCTTCCCTCCTGCCGCTCTCTCCAGCTGGCACAGGACAGGAGCCGAGCAGCCGAGCACCTGCGCCGGGCCCGGCCATACCTGGACAGCCCACAGGAGCCCCTGCAAGAGGAGGCTGTCAGGTTCATCGGTGAGCCATGAGCCGTGAGGCGGCAGCAGCACCCGGGCCCGGTGCCCTGGAGCCCCGGCTGCCCTCGGGGCTGCTGCTGCCGGCCTCTGGCAGCCGTGCCCTTGGGCTGAGTCAGGATGCGGCACGGGCCCGGGCTGAGCCCTGCCGGGCCAGGAGGCCGTGTGGCCACAGGGCTGGCAGCCCCGCTGGCAGGGAGCTGTGCTGCTGGGACGCTGACAGGCTCTGTGTTCCCAGAGATGGTCGGGATGTTCATCAGAGGGCAGAAGGAAGACCTCCAGGTCCTCAATGAGGGTGAGTGAGAGCAGCGGGCGGTCAGGGCGGGGCTGGCAGGGGGCAGTTGCCATGCCTGGGCAGGGAGTTGCAATCCCTGGCCCAGCTGCAGAGTGCTTCGTTCCTTGTGTGGCTGAGGGCTGGTATGGGCAGAGAATAGAGACATTTCAGGGACATGGGTGGGATTTGTGGCCAGCACCTTCTGGCTGATCCTGTTGTCCGGTCCTCTCTTGTGGCCATCGCAAGAGCCAGGTGGAATGTCCTTGGCAGGAATGTCTCCTCGGATCCCTGCAGAGGCATGCCCTGACCGTGGCTCTCCTCTGTTTCAGCCCTTCAAGCCCTGAGGAAGACACCAGTCCATCCCACTGTAGTCTAAATATTCAAGCCCAGTTCGCCAGTGAACGAGTGCCTCAAGAACAGCACCAGGAGACACTGAAGAGGACACCGCCTTCCAGTCCCAGTGGAGATCCAGGCACAGCTGACACAGCTGAGCCTGTGGGATGCTCATGGGACTTCAGCCCTCTCCCTGCTTGTAGATTGTCCCAGCCTCCAGCCCTCAGACTCTGCCCATCCCCTTTTTTTCCCTTTACTCTTCCTCCCTTGTGACAGCTCCTTACCTCCAGCCCGCAGACTCTGCCCATCTCCTTTTTTTCCCTTTACTCTTCCTCCCTTGTGACAGCTCCTTACCTCCAGCCCTCATACCATTCCCATCCCCTTTTTTCCCTTTACTCTTCCTCCCTTGTGACTACTCCTTACCTCCAGCCCTTGTACCATGACCATCCCCTTTTTTTCCCTTTACTCTTCCTCCTTTGTGACAGCTCCTTACCTCCAGCCCTCATACCATTCCCATCCCCTTCTTTTCCTTTCCAGCTCATCCCTTTGCTTCGCCTTCCATTAATAAACAGTTTGACTTTTTCACTCTACCTGCACCTGTGTGGAGCTGAAGCGGCACAAATCCGGAGCTCTGTGACACACGGGCCCCTCCTGCCATTCTCTTCTGAACCGTGTTTTGTGCACAGACGCAGAGGAAGGAGCGCAGATCAGGCTGGAAAGGTCCCTGTGCTGAAGGTCCAGTTCCACAGCATTGTGGAGTTAAAGGTCTTTCTGAAGGCCAGTAGTGAGTGGGACAAGGAGCCTGTGTGTGTCAGGGACCAAAGTTGTGCCTAACGCCCTGCCATATCTGGTCCTCTGTTGTGCACATCAACAGGATGATGAAGAACATAGAATGAAGGAAACCTTAAGGGTTAACTGCTGGGAATTTGACCCTTAAGAGGAACAATGGATTGATCAATTGATGGGAAGTTAACCTGTGAAAGAGGAACAGTAACAATGAGACTGTTATTGGCATGGTGACCTTACCTCATGTACTGGCCAAGGATGAGATGACATGGTAACTGGGAAAATTCTACTCCAGTGGAGAAGATAGGAGGCTTGGTTCTGCAGTGGAGAGGCAAGAAGGTCAAAATGCACGACTATTTGATGCAGGGGATGCCCTGAAGGTGCGCGGCCTGCCTGCCCCTCCCACTGGAGCACCTTGCTCCATCTCCTGCTGCTGCTCAGTGGCTTTTCACCAATCCAGGGGTTGGTATGTATTATTTGCAACAGCAACTAATAAAATAAAATTTGCTTTGCAATTTTGTGCACGGGCATCTTCCAGAACCCATGGTGTTATTGGCAATGAGGACAGGATGGCCAGAGCACAAAAACTGATGATTTTTGAGCATGTGTGAGTGAAAAATGGATGCACGTTTGAGTGTGGGTAAGAGAACAGGGACAGGGTTTGGGCAGTGCCTGCTCAGTGGGGCACACAGCTGCCCTAGGACAGTCTGTTCCATGGTCAGCGGGTCATTTGCTTGCAATTTCATGCTGCCTGGCCACCTGTGGCCAAAGGACAGACTACTTTAGGACAAGCATGCAATCTGCTTAAAGGAATGAAAATTAGTGTCCTGATGGGGTCTCTTGTGCTTTATATGGGCCAACCCTTAAAGCCCAGGATAGGGAACATTATCCTAGAGGGATGCCCAAAGGGATGGAAAGCCTACGGTCACGGAACAGCATCCCTGTATCTGTGGGCTACCAGAATGTGGCAACAACTGTCTCACCTTGGGAAATGCCCTGCTTTACGCCTCACTGGAGTTGCAGATTTTTGGCAAATTGAATGCAGACAGTTTTACTAACTTCAAATTTATCAGCACAAGGAATAACCCTAGAGCTTGGTGGGTCAATGCCACAATACTGTGTGTGTGGATTTAGCACAGCGTGATTTTTGGTAGCAGGGGAGGGCCACAGAAGCAGCTTCTGTGAGAAAACAGAGGAGAGAGAGAGGGCCCTTGCTTCCAAACTAAAGCAGCCTACCTTTAGAGGACTGCACCCGTCTCGCTTTGAGACAAGTTAGGAGGAAATGTTCTGAAAGGGGCGTCTCCTCTAAAGAAAGGTAGGTTTCGGCACTCTCTCCCTGCTTGGGGACAAAGGTGTAGGAAAACATTTTAGTAGAGCAAAAGCATGATATTTCAGTAAAAGCCTGTCTGCACAACCCAGCTTTCAATCCAGGCTACAATTCTAAAGACAGTGTCTTGAAACTCTCCTGGAACAGTGAGAATAAAGAAAAACAATGGCATTGGGTACATGGAAAAGAATGTAAAACAATATGTTTTAACCAATAGTAGCTTGTTAAGCCCCGGGAACCCTGTAGAACCCTATAAAATTGTGCTAAAGATAGAAATAAACAACATTTGCTATACCTCTATGAGGACTCAGTGAATTGTCGGAGTGGTTTTCCATTACAGACGTACAGAAAATGTGCCTTTATCTGTAGTGCCTGGCTCTGACACCCAAGAGAGCACTAAATTTAAAACAACACCATGGAAATAACTTTTAAAGTTAAGTAGAGAAACTGGGAAAATGAGTGTGCAAGTTAGAGTTTTCTTAAGTCACTGGGTGAGAGAGTTTAAGGTTTAAGCTATTTTAGAAAATAAGAGACAAGATGGAGAACTTAAGGCATTGTCCCTTTCTCCTTCTTCTTCCATCATCTTCTTCTTTTAAGGGTTTTAGATAATAATGAGTGATTGGATAGAAAATGCCACAGTGCAGCGCACAGGTGCCAGGTCATTGGGTCACTAAGAAAAAGAACTTACTTGGCACTTGATTATTGGACACATAGACATAGAAAAGACCTTGAAGAGATTGTTCTTTCTCCATTTTGCACCTCTCCACCATAGTCTATGTAGCTCCTTGTACTCTGTATACATGTAATATAGATAAGGCAAGAAGAAACAACCAAGTCCAAACATGAGGAAACAGCCTCTCTCTCATCAATCTCAGTCCTGGGGAAAGAACCCAACCACCAGTGTCACCTCGACACCTACAGGTCACGGCCAATGGTGTTCCCTCAGGATACAGCAGCCCTGAGGGGTCTTCCCAGAGCTGTCTGATGCTCCCCACTCCTTGTGGCACCAGTTGCTTTCCTGTGCAATGTTCTACCTGCCCCAAGAGTAAAGAGGGAGCTGGAGAAAGAGCATGCCAGGCTGCTCTCGATCCTTTCCCAGCAATGCTTGTTAAGTGGAGAAGTCCCAGCTGGCTCAAATGTGTAAATGTAAGAGCCATGCACTGGAAGGGTCAGTGGGAAGGATGATCCAGGAACCATTGGCCTGGCAGCCTGAGCTTGCTACTGGGGAAGGGTT